GTAGGACTCCATGCAGCAGCCTTCCTCCTCCGGTGCTTTCCCATGGGATGGCAGGACCCATCAGTGAACGGGGCACATTGCTTCTCTTTTTCTGACTGTTTATTATACAGCGGGGCCTCTTCAGCACGCGCCACCTCCTCCTCTGACGATACTCTGAAATCTTTGCCTTCTGGCCAGTCCAGGATCACTTCCAAGGTTCCTGGGCGACTGGGGTTCCTGTTCGAGCCCATTGTGTGATCAGTGCAACCCACTTGCTCTGTGTAGCACCGGTTGCATGGTGTGTGCAGGGGACCCCCTCCCGAACATCCAGCCCGCCCCGCAGTCGGGATGCCAGGAGGAGCCGTGACGATACTCTGAAATCTTTGCCTTCTGGCCAGTCCAGGATCACTTCCAAGGTTCCTGGGCGACTGGGGTTCCTGTTCGAGCCCATTGTGTGATCAGTGCAACCCACTTGCTCTGTGTAGCACCGGTTGCATGGTGTGTGCAGGGGACCCCCTCCCGAACATCCAGCCCGCCCCGCAGTCGGGATGCCAGGAGGAGCCGTGCTCCGGTGCCAGCCACTGCCGAAGCAGCTCCAACCCCTTCGCATGCTGCCAATATCTATTTCTCCGTTGGAGCATAGCGGGCCTCGGATCTTCTGTATCCCCGACTCCAAAGCCCTCAGGGTCGGCCTCGAGCCTCCCCTGGTGCCTGGTGCCACGCTCCCCGGTGCGGAGCGGCGTACATTTCTTGCACCGTGCCCTGCCTGGGCTGGCCCGAGGGCGACGGCGTGAACTCTCTCCCGTGTAACTGTGCAAAGGCTTCTCGTTGCTCAGGGCCCCATTTGCAATCGTTCTTCTGCCAGCTGCTGTTCATAAAGTCACGTCTCCCTCCGCAGAGGTAACGCGCTCCAGCGCTGCGTAAGGCAGAGCCAAAAGAAGTGTATGCTGAAAAAAAAAATATGTGTGCCTATTAAATATTTGTGTGATTGGCTGCCTTAAACATGCCGCCAAGATTTATAACGGGTCAGGGGGACATTGGGAATTCTTCAGTATAAATTATTTCAAGCCTTATTTCTGTAATGCCGCAGTCTTTGCATCTCTCCGCGTTCCGGAGGACTAAGGATAGACGGCACACAGAAATGGAAGCGGTTCCCTTCCACGTCAGGGTTGCAAGGTTATTTAAAGGGAAGATTCGCCTTACAGGTCTGCAGGATCAGTGTAAGTCTTGAGTCCTTTTTAATTTTAAAACACAGGTTCCTTCTCTTCTCAGTACCGAAATAAGAATTTTTGGGAAGATGGAAGAGGTAAAGAGTTATTTAGGTTTTTGCCTCATGCCATGGCCAATTGCTTTGCAATCCCCTGCCTGCCCTGCCTGCCCTTTAGAGGACTGGCCAGCAGCTGTCTGCAAGGCTAATGAAGGGCTGGGCTTCTGAGTATGGAAAAGCTAGCGC